GGAACAATTTTTTGGGACGGCCCAAAAAGGAAAATGGGACTTATTTTATGGGACGGAGGGAGTAATATATTTATACATTAACACCAAATTATTTAAATAAATACTTTAATTAATTCAATAATCAATTACACAAAATAAAAAACAACAACCTGAATATCTAATTTGTTAAATTTCATACGGAACAATAGATTAGGAGGCCTAAGCATAAATAATACTACTCCGTAGTAAATAATTTCCTATTCTACTAATAATCCAAACATATAAGAAAATCAAATCAGTCAAATAGATTAACTTACCTGCAGTGAAGACTGTGAGAATAATGGGAAAACCGTGCTCCAATAGGAGCCCTGGCAGGTATATTTATAATAAAATATCATTTGCCAAAATACATAAATATTCCTAATTAATATAAACTATTACATTCTCTCAAGTTGTGCGGGAGATACAACGCGCAGGTTGTCCTTTAAGAAATGAAATTGATGACTAGATAAACTTTTAGTAAATATATCCGCTAGTTGGAGATGTGTAGGAACATACTGTACCACCAGATCACCATGAGCAACTCTCTCACGTACAAAATGATAATCAATATGAATGTGCTTGCTGCGAGCATGTTGAACCAGATTTGCTGTCAGATATGAGGCAGAAATATTATCACAGAATAATCGAACGGGATCACGAACGGGCAGGCCAAGCTCAAAGAGGACCGAGCGAATATGTAGAGTGTCCTGCATTGTATAAGCAATGGCTCGATATTCTGCCTCCGTAGACGACTTAGAAACAGTTGGCTATTTCTTGGACTTCCAGGACATAAGATTAGGGTTAAAGAAAATAGCAAATCCTGTAGTAGAACGGGAACTATCCGGACATCCTGCCCAATCAGCATCAGAATAGGCCAAAATACGAATTGGATGAGCAGAAGTCTGAAGCCATAATCCATGATCAATAGTACCCTGTAAATAATGAAAGATGCGTTTGACAGCAAGCATGTGAGTAATGCGGTGGGGCATGCATGAACTGAGACACTAAATGAACTGCATAAGTAATATCAGGTCTTGTCAAAGTTAAATACTGTAATGCACCTACCATACTACGATACTCAGTAGCATCAGCTAGGAGTTCGCCATCTGTGAGGGAGAGAGTTGTGCGCGTAGCAAATGGTGTACGAACAGACTTGAGAGTGTGTAAGTGAAAGTGAAGAAGGAGATCAGACAGATATTTTTGCTGAGAGAGAAAGACACCTTTAGACTTTCGAACAACGTGGACCCCCAAGAAATAATGGAGATCACCCATATCCTTCATTGCAAAATGAGACGCAATACGACTAATAAAGGAAAATACAAGAGATGGAGAATTACCCGCAACGATAATATCATCCACATATAGCAATAAATAAATAACAGACTGACCCTGACGATAAATGAACAAAGAATTATCAGACTTACTACATAAAAAATTATGAGTAAGAAGAAAACTACTAAACCAATAGAACCATGCCCGCGGGGCCTGCTTAAGGCCATAGATGGCTTTGCGCAAACGGCAAACATGATGAGGGAACTGAGGATGAATAAAACCCCGCAGTTGACACATATATACCTCTTCTGTAAGATGATCATGAAGAAATGCATTTTTCACATCCAACTGACGCATAACCCACCCAAAAGAAATAGCTAGAGTAAGAACAATACGAACTGTGGTGGGCTTAACAACAGGACTAAATGTTTCTGAAAAATCAACCCCAGCCTGCTGATTAAAACCTTGAGCAACCAAACACGCTTTATGGCGCTCAATAGATCCATCAGAATGAAATTTAGTTTTATAAATCCACTTAGACCCAACCACATTCTTAGAGTTATCAAACGGAACTAAATCCCATGTATTATTGGAAATAAGTGCATTAAATTCCTCCGCCATAGCTTCACGCCAAACTAAACTTTTATATGCCTCAGAAAAACAGGTAGGGTCTGCTGAAGTAACAACTGTGTTTAACATAAAAACTGATTTAGGTTTAAAAATCCCAGACTTAGCCCGAGTTTGCATAGGATGAACATTTTACAGGGAAGTGCCAGGTCTGGATGAAGGAGAGGATGACGGACTTGACTGGCTGGACGAAGGAGAGGGTGACGGACTGGACGGGCTGGAGGGGATGGTGGCCGATGTGAAGCTGGAGGAAGAATAGGCTGATCGTGGACTGGAGTTGGGTGTGGAAAGTTGTAGGCTGGGTGTTGGTGTTGCGGCAGAAGTGCTGATTGGTGAGGAATGGAAGGATTGGCCGTGGAGAGGAGAGGTGACACGAGAAGCATTGATGGGGTTGGGTGACGACATGTCAGTAGTAGGAGGGGAGGATGGACTGGAGTTGGACACAGGTGGTGGGATAGTGATAGCTGGTTGCGGAGAAGAAAATGGCCTAAGGGTATTAGTGAGGAAAAATTCAGCATTATGTAGAGAGGAGGACAACTCAGATGAAGGTGAAGTAAGAGAGGTATAGGGAAAATTATTTTCAAGAAATCTAACATTACGACTAACATAAACTTTACCGGACTTAGGCTCAAGACAACGATACCCTTTATAACTAGATGCATAGCCAATAAAAACACAATGAACTGAGCGGGCAGAGAGTTTGTTGGCAGAGGACGCAGATATGTTCGGAAAGCAAGAACAGCCAAATACACGCATAAAAGAATAATCAGGAGATTTTTGAAAAAGTGTTTCATACGGGGAGGAACCACCAAGTAAGGGATAGGGTAAACGGTTAATAATATATGCAGCCGTAAAAATGGCGTCCACCCAAAACTGACTAGGGATAGATGCTTCAAGGAGCATAGTCCTAGTGAGTTCTAATAGATGCCGATGTTTACGTTCAGCAACCTCATTTTGTTGGGGCGTGTCAGGGCAGGATTTTCGAAAATATATGCCATGTTGATCAAAAAATTGTTGCATACTAAAATTAACAAATTCACCTCCTCCTCCCTTCCTGTCAATTTTTCTAGCGGGCTTATTACTTCTCCGATTCAGAGGCCAGCTTCGTCCAACTTGTTCTCTACTTTTCCTCCGCCGCCACTTTTCCCGACGGCAGAGCCCTGTTCGCTGTTTAACTCCATGCCACCGATGATTGGCTCGCAACAGCCAGTGCTCAATTCTCCGGTCAACAGCTCTTCTCCTGCGCCGCCTGCTTCCCCCTTCTTTGACTCTACATTCTCAGGTACGCCGGGGGTCATTCGGCCAATTGACCAGTCTGCCTTCGGCTCTCCTGTGTCGGCCCTTGCTCAGTCCGTGTCACATATTACCACGGTCTCACGATTGTTACCATTAAGTTGAAGGCCGTTGAAGATTATCTCACTTGGCGCACTCAGTTTGAATCATTTTTGGTTTCTCAAGGTCCGTTTGGCATCGTTGACGACTCCATTCAGATACCCCCAATGTATACAGTTGATTTTGCTAATCGTCAAGTTCCCAATTCCGAGTATTATTATTGGCTTCGTGTAGACCAAACAATTCGTTGTTGGTTGTTTGCTACCTTAACTCGTGATGTTTTAGTTGATGTTCATGAATTAAAACATTCTGCTGCTATCTGGGCTAGACTTCAGACTCGATTTATGTCTGCTAGTTTACCGCGATGCATGGAACTTAAACGATTATTATCAAATATGAAAAAGAAAGAATCTCAGACTATGGAAGTTTATCTGCGAGAAATCAAGACTGTAGTAGGAGTTCCGTTGGTGGTAGAATCCATAGTTGCGGCTGATTCCATGGGGAAGCGCAAGGTGTGCGTCGGAAATTTTAGGGAGAGAAAAATTAGGTTAGATTCTGATACCACGTGAGAATAATGGGAAACCGTGCTCCAATAGGAGCTCTGTCAGATATATTTATAATAAAATATCAGTTTCCAAAATACATAAATATTCCTAATTAATATAAACTACTCCGTATTAAAGACTTGGTGTGCGGACTGCTGCTGCTGAACCGGCGGACTGGAGGAGATGCGGACTGCTGCTGCGGTGGCGTCCCTAGCTAGAGGCGTAGATGGAGGTCACGGAGGACTGAATCACGGTGGACGGAGTCACGGAGGTGGCCTAGGTCGACTGCTGCGGTGAATGTCTTGAATAGACGCTCTGTTTTGGACGCTAAGTGCTCTCAGGCTGGGTTTCTCTATTTTGGGGCTCTTTGCAGTCGCACTGAATCTCCCTCCACTAGGCCTGCCCTGAAGGTTAGGATAATACGGAAATTTCAGTTACAAAAAGCAACAAGATTATATATTAACCCTATGAAAAACAACCGGAAAGGATGGTAACATACTTTTTATATCGGGCCATTTCAAAAAGACAGCGACAAAACGGCATTGATACAGAATCGGACACGGATTTAATTTATCCGTGTCAAATTTTCTATGTATTTTGATTAATTTATATCAAATTCGTTGCTTTTTTTGTAGTGTAAACGAGAATTAGAACGAAGAAAATACTACGTAAGAAATTGCACTTAAGTATGTCCAAAAAAATGCTTCAAAAGAAGAAGGTAATAAAAAAAATGTTTTTGGATAGAATCTAGAAGAAGAAGATAATGATGAGGATGAAGAATTATCTTTGCTTACTGGGACTATGGGCGTAATTCGCAAAGCAGTAAGCGACAACTAGCGAAGCGGACGACGTGTACTAAGGTACAAGACCAGATCTAGTATTGATTTGGCTGTGGTACCCGACGGCGGGCGGTGGGTCCCGGAGATGAAGAGGCGCGCGATTCAATTAATTACGAAGTCGGCTTCGCAGCCACGCCGCGAACGAGCGACCGCACACGTATTCACGTCTTACCCACGTGCCTTGTATGAACCTCCCACGTGTGTATACACCCATGCCATCACATCGTCGGCGAACCAAATCATCCACGTGACATTGTACGTATGGCCACCTCAACTCATCGTATATACACTAAATTTAATGTCATACGTTGTATAATAAATTAATAATAAAAGTCATGAAAGAGACACTGCTATATATAGCTCGCCGGCGCCATCGATCCGATTGAATTGTTCTGCATACAGCATATATGGTGCATATACACACATATACATACATACATACAAAGAAGTTTATAACATAATGGGAGGAAGGAGAGGAGTAGGAGGAGAAGGGCCGTCGTGGCCGCCGCTGCCGCCGCTGCCGCCGCTAGACAGGAAATCGTCGATAGAGAGTGAACCGCCCACGCTCAGTGGCGACCAAATCCAAGTCGCTCGGGTACGTTTGACTTATGTCTTTGATTTTGATGGTTTTTTATAAGGTGCTTGCTATGGTACGTAACACAAATAGGAGGGTACCATACCAAGGATCATTTCATTGGTTCAACTCAAAGTTTTACGTTTTATTTGCATTTAAATTATTCAATTGAAATTTTTTTATTTGTCCATACCATCAAGGTACGAAAGTACTATAGAAATTGCCTTTTGATAATATCGTACGTGAGATCATTTCTTGTTATCTATGTGATCTGTCAAACGGAGTACTTGTGCGGCTTCTGCCACTCTTGAATAAGTCCAACATTATTTCATGTTTGATTACTCACTTCGTCCCATAAAATAAGTCTTATTTTCCTTTTTGGGCCGTCCCAAAAAATTGTTCCCATTTTCCTTTTTGGAAAGTTTTGTGTGGCTAACATTTATTTACCTTTTTCTTACTCAACCACAAACATACATTTCCACTTTATTCTCACTTTCTTAAACTCCGATCCAAGTCAAAGTGAGACTAATTTTCCGGGACGGAGGGAGTACATTTTAGTACTTTCTTTTATGGAAAAAAAATTGTCATTCTAAATTTTCTAAATTTGAATTTTTTTATTTCTTTAATAATAGAGATTTTGATACGTTGATAAGTAAAAGTTGAGTTGAATTGTGCATTCGTAAATGTGAAAGTTAGAGATTGACAAGAAATAATGGTCATATACGGAGTATAAAAGTGGTGAAGTTAAGGATATGAATTATGTAAGAAACTGACGACCCTCAGCTAGTAGGATAAAAAGCAGAAGTAAACCGTCACGGGTAGCACAGTTGGTTCAGTGGTGGGAAATTTGGACCAAGTGACCAATGTTAGAAACCCGCAGCGGCCGTGTGGAGGTCACAGAACTTGAAATAAGGCTGGGCCTCTGGTGCGCACGGGAAAAAGGCCTACCATCATTGGACCGAATGAGTCACTGTGATTAACATCCTCCCAAAAATCCTGTAGGGTCGGGATATGGGGCTCCTGATGTGGAAGATTACACCTTTTGGACCAAAAATAGAAGTAAGTCGGTGGGATTTAATGTTACGTTACACGTTTGGTTGGTGGATATTAATTATTTCTAAGCTTTTCTTCTTTTGGTGTTGAAAATATATAAATGTATTTTAAAGGAGGCAGCACTTTGTGTGATGAACAATGCAAGTGTGGAAGAAGCTGCAAGAATTTTCACCGAGGTACATCGTTACTACATACATACATCCATGCATGCTTGTGACATGTTAAATTGTTTTCCCTCTCTTTTCAGTTTTTGAAATATCACTGTTTTTACCTCAAAGGTTTAAAATACGAAGTATATAACCTTTTTTAATTTTACAAGGGTGCAGCAAGAATAAATGTTTTTTCTTGTACTGTAATTTGTTAGTCTGATCTGGTCTGGTCTGAACTAGTCTGAACTTGATATGGTCTGGTCTGGTCTGGGACGAATTACAGTCCAAGTAAAAACATCCTTACTTGCTAGTTACAAACCTTCACTCTTATCTTTATACGGAATGAGTATGTATATGAATGTTTTAGGGTATATAGTTAATTAGTTATATAACCTACACTGCTAGCTAGATATATAGAAGGCATATGAATAGCTTATATTATGCTTCCTGCAAAATAGTTTCCGGATTCCTTTTTGTGTCGTTCCAAAAAATAGTTCTCAATTCCCTTTTGTGGCTACCATTGCACTGAGCCATATTAGGAATAATATTGGGAAAAAATTTACACAAAATTTTTTACACTAAAAATATTGACATTTTTTAAATTTGGGGTGGACCAGGGCCTAGCCTGGCACCCCTAGCTCCGCCCCTGCATAAATTTCCACTTTATTTTCACTTTCTTAAACTCTGATTCAAGTCAAACTCTGATTCAAGTCAATGTGGAAACTATTTTACGGGACGCAGTAATAATTTCTACCTTATACTCCGTATAAATATGGACATCATATAAGTAATTTCTTTGGTGCATGTGGAAAAATATTTGTGTGTGCAGGGATTAGAAGCAGTAGTTAGTTGCGTACATGATGATGATCGTGGCGGCGAGAAGCGAACAAGAACGTTCATTCTGGACTATAGAGATGACGATGAACAACAAGGCCACCAAGCTCCAATTGCACCTGCCCCTCCTTTTAGAGAAATCGCAACTGCACCTTTCTAATTTGATCGTTCTAATATGTAGAAATTAAAGTAGTAACAAATAGGTAAGAGTATCCTCAATGTTACAATGTGCACGGTGCATATGTGGCATGAGAGGTAACCACATAAATATTAGAAAATAAATTATCTATTTCCTTATTTGAATGATTTTATACAATTTTGATAAGTTTTTTCCTGCAATGTCAATATCTAGACGGTCTCCTTGACATTGTGGATAAAAACTTATCAAAATAGTATAAAATCATTCAAATAAGGAGAAAAAATTTGTTTTTTATTTAAAAATATTTATGTGTCTATCTTTCATGTCACATGTACATCATGCACGTTGAAGCATTGGAGATGGGCTCTAATGTAAAAAGTTTATCATTTGGATACTCTACCAAATCGAAGCAGACCATAACTTGGAACTGAACTGGTCAGTCGATATCAAAACTAAAGTAGGACCAGACAAAACTATAGATTGTGGAACAAATTCGCAAAAGAGCCAATCAGTTCAATTCAACAATCAAGCATCTTCGATCAGCAATTTATTCAATTTCTTTTATCGAACTCTTGCAATGTGACTATAGATCTATACTCCAGGTGCCGAAAACCATGGGTTAGAATTCACAAAGCAAGAAAAAATAAGAGAAAATCTCAAATAGGTCTTCGTACTTTAGTCAATTCCTCAATAGACCCTCATACTTCCGAATCACTCAATCAAGTCCACGTACTCACCCAAAACACTCAATTATGATTATTAGCCTGTGCATAGCCGGTTTACCCGTTATAAGGTGACCTGGACTCCTATGTGGCATTCCATTACCCGACAACTTAACCTGGTGTGGCTATCCCATACTAAAGTCTAACCCTCTCCTAAGCATCTAACACAAATCCTTCTCAGTTCTCCCTTGGTATTCGCCCTCCCCTCCCTACGATTGTGTGATTCTACCAGCCTTCACAAGTATGTCGTCTTCATCATCATCAACGATTGTAAAAGAATGAAGTCGTACTATGGACTACGAGCATGCTGTTTATTGTTGGTGTGGATTGAAAGCTCCTCTATGTGTTGGACGAGAGAGTGGGAGAACTATTTATGACTATCAAAAATGGAAGGTAAGTCTGTGATTTGGTTGTGTGGTTTAGAATTAAAGTGTCTTGCCTTGGTTCATTGCTTGCATACGTTAAATATGTTCACGATTTGGAATAAATTTGGTAAGATTTTAACGTGTACAGGTTGGGGGATGCGGTTTTTTCTTATGTAAGGAAGAAGTAGGAATAAAAGAAATTGTCAGGGATGAAGAGATGAAAGAACTTGTTATGGCTGAAGAGAAGAGCGAAAGCGCAGATGAATTGAAAAAATTAGTTGAAGGACTTGTCCTACAGATTTCACATGTACAGAGTGATGTTGCTTGTGTCAAAACTGTGATTGACAATGAGGCGAAGGTGAACAAAAAGAGTAGGAAGTTGTATGGGTTAGCTATGATTGTACTTCTTGGTTTAGTGGGGAGTGTGTATTTGAGGATGTAAGCTTGGTTTGCAATGGCAGAATTCTTTATGTGTTGGTCATGTGTACTGTTTATCAGTCTGTTAGTTATGTAATGGCTTTGTACTGGCACAATGTTGCTTGAAGTATTCATTAACAGCTTGGTTGTTATGGCTTTGTAATGGCACAACGTAATGGCACAATTTTGTTCAATGAAACTGTTTTTATATATTATATTATAGGCAATGTGTCTTTGTTCACACATACCTAGAATTCTTACTAACTGTGCAATGCCTTTCCAATGGCACAATGTTGCTCAATGTAATGGTTCTTAGGGTTTTTGTAAACTGAAATGTAAACAGCCCTTTCTACAATGCCCCCTCACTTATCCTCATTTACACACAAACCTCAGCATACGGAATACCCCCAGATAGAAGACCAATACAATACAGAAGATTAATAAGGCTATACCCAGGCTAGTGGAATACCTGCAACTGACCATACAAAGTCTAGTTATTCATAATATTGAGTTCATAATACCCTCAGCATATGGAATACCCCCAACTGACAATACAAAGGATAGTGATTCATAATACCAACATTGATTCACAAAATCCATTACACATTAAGCAAATTACACACCATTACTAAGTTCTTTATACACCAAAACCCATTAAGTACACCATACAGATTGTTTTTCCGGAATACACATTCAGCAAAATGAAGACCATAACTAAAATAGGAAAAATTGAAAATAATAATCCCAACTATTGTCGGTCCGCTAACAATAATCCCAACTATTGATTATTTTTGTGTAATCCCAACTATATGGACCGTCCGTCAATAATGGTCCATGACTTCATATTACCTGCTCTAACAAGTGAATTTTTAATAGAAATTAAGCGTAAAAATTAAAATTTGAGATTATTTATAGGGATTACCTTTTATATCTCTTTAGAAACTATAGGAATTTATTTATAGTCAGTCATGTCGGACCATTATTAGCGGAAGGTCCCTAAAGTTGAGATTATTCTGGAATAATCGATAGTTGGGATTATTATGAGCGGATCACCGATAGTTGGGATTATTACAATCAATTTGTCCACTAAAATATTCCTACATCTTTAACACCACCATTACATGATAGGAAATGTTTTTCCAAAATACACAGTCAACAAAATAAACATCCAACACCCTATTGCAATTCATTGACATTCCTCTCCTCCACCTCCAGTATAGCCTCCTGTTAGCATTGTTTCTCCTCTTTGTCCAGGCTGCAATCAGGCATCAACAAAAATAAAACTTGCTCATAATACATTAAAATAAAAACACATAAGTGAGTTATAACATTACACTACACATACACTTGCTTCCAAAATGACCATCCATGTATGTTCATTAAAATAAACTCCAAATCTCCTTTCTCCTCTCCCCCTCCCCCTTTCATCTCTCCCCTATGACCTCTCCCCCTGTGAACTCCCCCCCTCTAACCTCTTCCACTTTCTAGACTACCCCTTGATCTGTCCCAGTTTCAACACTCCCCATCTCACCTCTCCCCCTTTCAACACTCCCTCTAGCTTCCACCCCTCTTAGGTCTACCCTTTTGACCTCTTCCCCTTTCAACAGATAGTGTATGCCCTTCATTTTCTTCTCTTCCCCTTTCAGCACTTCTTGAATTGCCTTCACTTTCAACAGATAGTGCACAAGATTTCCTATTGTGACCTTCCCCTTTACATATAGAGCATTTCATGATTCGTCCTTTTCTTGGCAGTTGTGTCCTTGATGGTGCATGGGGTTCAGTTTGTTCTCTCACTCTTTTCTTCTTAGGATGGCCACTCATTTTTTTTGGTATGGGAGGAAGAATTTCTTCATGTTAGGTTCTTGGCCAGAGTAACTCACCATTAATTGGGTGCAATGTGTAGGAATATGTTTTTTAGAAATTGCTCTAAATAGGAGCACAAACGTTTTAAAATTCGAAAAATAGGAGTATCATGTTTTTTATTCCCTGAATAGGAGTAATATGCCAAGTTTGGAAAAAAATGCCATGTTTTAAAGCCTAGTAATGTCAAACTTGGCAGAAATTTACTCATATTCAAGGAATAAAAAACATGATACTCCTATTTTGGAATTTCAACACTTTTTTACTCCTGTTTAGGGAATTTTCCCTGTGTTTTTTCATAGAGTTCCTTAGAGTAGCAAGAGTCCACATAGCTTTCTGGCTCATCCCCTTTATCAAGAATTGCACTAATGGCATGTGCATAGGGAATTCCGCATAGATCCATCTTTTGTAGGCACAAGATCTTGTGCTGAGGCTCGCCTTGAATTGAAATCTTCCCTTTTTAATCTCATAGCCATCATCTCCATTAAAATCAACATGCCAACCATGACTTGCTAGAATATTTTTGTTCAATTTCTTCATGATCACTGGACCGAATGCACCTGAACAACAAACAACAACATGTACTCATAATGTCAAGTATAAACTTCCTTTCACGATGCTACTCTTGTACTCATAAGGTTAAATTCAAACCTGTTTCACACATTTTAACAATAAATTCATAAAGTCAAGTTCACAGTACTGTTCTAAATCTTAAACATGTATTCATAAGTTTTGTTCATCCTTACCTGACCACTTCCTCAAATACTTCCTTTTCTTAGCTACTCTTTTCATCATAGCCACTTTCATTCCCTCTAGCATTGGGATAAGTGGTTTGTCTCTAATCTCAACAAGAGTGTTGTTAAAAGCATCAGATAAATTGTTATCCACCGTATCACACTTCACCTCAGACCTAAAGTAAGCCTTGCACCACACCTTCAGTGGACACTTGCGCAAGTCTCTACCTGCTTCAGGGTCAAGCTTATCTAACTCATTTAAAGATGACTCCAATTGCCCTTCAAAAGTGGACTTCGCACATTGCCAGAACAATTTCTTCAACAACATTCCCCTATGATTTTTTGCCCAGTTAGCATGTATATGCCTGGCACAGTTCCTGTGCTCCTCAGGGAGAACACTGGCAATCACATTTGACAGACCCTATATGCATCAAATAATTCAAAATCAGTAGTAATGCAACAAAAGTTCAGCAAGCATTGACAAATATGAAGGACAACACAACTTACTTTCTGTTGGTCACTTATAATGGTTCATTCACCCATGTTGGTTATCTTCAAATCTTCCCTCAAAAGCTGTAAAAACCAAGTCCATGAAGAATTATTTTCTCTCTACTACTGCCCAAACAATTGGGTAATCTGATTATTCGCATCTTTTCCAACAGCATTTAAATTCTCCCCCTTCAACTGCCCTTTTAGGAAGCAAATAACCATACAAACATATCACCTTCCTACACCCTTCCAAGAATCCCCTCTTAACTGGTCCAAAACACATATAAATTCGTTTGAAAACCATTGGAGCTTCAGAGTCTACTCTATCAGTCTTAATCACCAATGTACTACCTGGAATTGACCTCAGTATTTCCTCTTCATAGTTTCTAATTTTCTTGAATTGGTCCTTAAAAGCACACTGGGTTTTCTCTTTCATAATTTTCAAAGCTCTTGTAGCCATACTAATGGAGACATTCAGTTTATGTTCAGCTTTAAGCAACTTTTTTAGGTCTACAGCACCCATGGAGGGATTCTCGGTCAACTTATCCTCATAGGTTTCAGCTATCCATTTCTGACTTACTATTCTAAGCTTAAACTTTAAGTTACACGGATGGTCTAGGTTCCACACTTTTAGTTGAAAACAATTCAACCTTTCTTCCCAACTAGCATTAGAAGCAAAAGGGCAATTAATGGCACATTTAAATCTGACTCTCAGAGACTCATTCTTAACAAAGACTATATCTCTTTTATTATACACAACATCCCCACCTTAAAATGTGGAGGATCAGATTCTGCGTTATATGAACCATTCCCAGTGGGGGGGCTTTTGGACGTAGTTTCATTTTCATCCTCTGAATGCCAGCTACGTGGGTTAGATGAGTCATATTCTGTACTATTTTCCTTTGTATCAGTTGTTAGGAAATTGATGTAACGTACCTCGAATATACAGCAGCGGAAGTTTAAAATTTTCCCAAACAGATCTTCCCTGATTATGACAAAACAACGAATATAACAATAATAACGGATCTGAGTTAGAACTTACAGATCTTCCAGTCTAGCGGTGATAATCCGAAAGAACGGTTAGATCTCCCATAGAGAAAGGCTAGGAAATCTCTTCGCAAGGAAATAAACTGGTAATACTAAATCTGAAAACTCGTAAATCTAATTATGGAGGAGGAGGACGTATTTATACTAGTTTTAAACTAGTTTCTCAATCACAATGAAAGTCGTTCTCATTAGTTAGATCCAGTCCTACCAAGACCAATACTCCATATTGTTTAATTAAATTAAACAGTAAACTATTAAAATAATACAAGAGGGAAGGAGCGCTCACGTACGCCACTCTCTTCCTCTCTTTAGTATTATTTAGTATTTTAATTTCTTTTATAGTTCGAAATTATAAAATAAATAACCATCTTTATTTAATTAAAAAATACTTAATTAAGTATAATAAATCTAATTTATTACACTTAATTATTTTTATCAAATAGAACTCTCCTTCAACATCATGAATTAAATATAATTTAGTCTAATCCATTTTCAGTATTACGAATTAAATATTATTTAATCCAATTAATATTTAATTCCTTCTAACAATTCAATTGGCAGGTATAATTACTTGTTGTGTGACCCATAGGGCCTTATATATTAAGCACTAATCAAATTAAGATCTTAGCGAATCCCTAGACGATTCTCCAGACAAACATAATATATAAGGATGTTTGCGAGGACTATTCAAACTCCCTATAATATAGAGCTTATAGTGATACGGTCCTTTCATTCAACGAACATTCAACTAAGTCTAGAATTTGATATTGTGTCTATTCCAATAACTTAGTCTCTGTTTCTCAATTTTTCTAGATGATCCATAACAATCATATTCGATATCCAAAACGAATATATTTTTGCATTGGCCAATGACTTTATGGTCCATTTAGATATGAGAAGTAGAATGTTCTCTCTTAATCTATTATGAGGAATTAATCCTTTCTTGGCTCAACTACTACTCCATGTGCTTCATGATGTACCCAACACATGTCGTGTCTACCCTGATTAGAGTGCAAGCGTTGGTCATGGTCAAAGTACATCACTCACCACAT